ATTTTTAAAACTGTGAAAATGAAAAAAAATCACTAAGTTTGAAAATTTGCACGTAACAGACTGAAAACTGATTGATTGTGTCATCTTAGCGGCGCTATATGTAATTTTAACAAAATATAAATCCCCTTTCTCAAAGACCGAAGATTGTTTTGAATAGCTTTTGAATTGAAAAACTGAATGCAAGTTTATTTTTATGTTTAAAGAGTATTAGATGAGGTCTGATATCAAATCAACCAACATTTCCCTCATTCGAACATGCTTAATTGGCTGGCATTAAAATAAACAGTGAAAAAAGACGGACTTTAATGCAGAGCGTTGACTTTCATTATTCTACAATGCTCTTTGAATCTACAGCCACAGGTCACTAGGAGCTTTCACTTGTGTTCTTAGCTATGAGTTTTAATGCAAATTTAAAACCTATCAATAGTATCTAAACCACTTTTTCTTATTTACTGCTTCGAATTTGTGGGTTGGTGGATGACTTCAAAAAACATATCGAAAAATTAATTTATAGGATTAAATTTGCAAAAGATTATTTTATATGTCTTGCAACTGTTTATTATCATATCGGTACACCTAACAAAGATAAATGTGCCCTCTTAGCTCACTAGTTAGTCTTTTCTAGTGGTTAACTAAAGGTGCATAACATATTACATTTGCCCTACTGATTTACTCGTTTCGACATTGCATTAATCGCGTAACTAATGTGGTGTCCTGCATGATTATTATTTGAAAAATGCCAATTTTTCTTTCGATGCAGGACGGTTGTAATTATAGAAATATGCTTGTCTGCTTTTATTTATATTTTTGAATGAGCTGCTTCAGTTTAAATCATTTTTTCATGTCATATCGTCTGGCTATCCTGCCTATCAATAGACGCGTCTATGAGCCTGCATGGCAAAATGACCCTTTTCGGCCATCCTCAGTTTTCTTAAACAAACAATCTTTCAACGCTTTTGTTATTGGCTGTTTGGACTGCGTCGGATCTGTTGGTCTTCTCCTATTCTATTTCGTGTTTACCTTGAAGGTTTGGCTTCACTGAATATACCCATTAATAATGACTTCTTTCACCTTTTGTCCCCCAAGGTAACTTGACATGACCACAGAAGTAATATTTACCCTTGCAAATACTCAAGATGAACGGTCACTGCATATTGCTGCAAAATATTTTTCTTTGGATACTCGCATGAGCTTTTGAACTTTCCAGATAGATTAGTATCTCTGTTAAAACTCGACGCGGGAACCCGATATTAAGCTTATATCTTTTTCTAAATGCAAATTATGCTGCCGATACAGAAAGCATAACTAACGGCAACAGTTCCTGAAAATGCAACAATAAAATGTCCATTTCACAGTCAATCGTTTTGTGGGCATTTTGACGGCTTGTTCTTGATGCCAGACATCTCAAAGCGCACTCTACACATCTCTGTTTTGTGGATCAAGGCAAATAAGCGACCTAAATTTGCAAATTAAATTGATATCTCGGGTCTAATTTGAATGAAAACATGTAGAATTGTTTAGACAGTTAATTAAAAATGGAAACTTCACGTGGCCTAAATTTGGTCAATTCAGGTCCATATTTAGGTAGTCGCTCATTATATTCTGCATCTCATCCATGTCCTTCTCTGGTTGGCTGCCTTCGTTTCCCGCATGATATTGGAACTCAGAGGGACACAGGATTGGCTGAGACCAGGTGGTCCAAAATGTCTGCGCCTGGATCCGACGCCACTGTAGAATACCCGAGCCCTAATAGGTAAAAGACCGGTACAACAGAACAGGCTTTATTGACCAAC